GGAAATGAGACTTCTCGTTTTCTTCTTTATTTGTCACGTGTTGTCGCGTTCCGCTATCGATTTCGTTGTATTGTCTGAAAAGTTAGGAGAAACGAAAGAGCTAAACTTAGAGGAACGCAGAAAGTCATCCAACGGCCGACACCCACGTCATTTTTTAACGATGGCACGACACGCAGTATAACTATAATAACGAGTGACAAAAGAAAATCGCCACGCTGAAGTCTCGTCGCGTGCGCCGAGCCATAACTTCGCGTCACGGCTGAACGTTTCGCTCGTCGTTACGATCGGCGAGCACGCGACTCGCACGAAGCGCGAACGACGGACTCGCGAGCTCGTCGGAAATGACAGCCGGCCGGCTATCCGATGCCGTTTCCGTGATTTACGAGGAGATAGTAAGGGCGTTTCATCGATTATGGCCATTTAATAGCCTGTAACCGTGTTTTACGAATTGCTCACTTTCGGGAAGAACTCGTAGCGAATTCGGTTGGACGTACTAATGCATCATTAAAGTTGTTGTACGCTTAATTTAATCTGTGTAAAAGTAAATGCAAATATTTTTAATTATAAAATACAGATTTTATTTTATTAGTTTTTATATTTATTTAAACGAATATTTTTATATCCATTTGTGCACAGACTTTAATGTATGCCAACGCACTAAGTGCATCCAATCAAATTCGCTATTAGACTCTGGAAAGATTAAGAATTTTTGGAAGTACCCGACTAGAATTTGTGTCAGGTTAATCTTATATGTTATAAGGACCTGATTTGGTTGACGTAAGGTAATCCTAAATAAGATATACCTAATAAAGTTCTCAGGTTTGAGTATGGTTGACCTTTGTAAGGTTGTATGTTATAAGGACCTGATTTGATTGACCTAAGTTAACTTTGAATAAAGTACACCTAAGAAAATCCTTATCAGGTTTGAGTATGATTGACCTTTGTAAGGTTGTATGTTATAAAGACCTGATTTGGTTGACTTAAAATAATCCTGAATAAGGTATACCTAAGAAAATTTTCGTTAGGTTTGAGTATGGTTGACCTCGTTTCTACGCAGCCACGCCAAGAGATGGACGAGTTGCTCGTAAAAAGAAAACGTCCACAAGTTCTATAAGAAGGCATATGCAAGTCGATTTGAATAATCTCCTAAAGTTATAAAGTTCCTTCAGAGTATGCCTTCTGGACCTCTGAAAAATATATTTTTTGCTTCTTTTGGAATATGATGCTAAATTAATAGCATTTGAACAATTCCTGACTTAGAAATTTATCCAATGATTTTAGTAGATTCTAGGTTGACCTTATTTCATTATTAGGTCCTGATGAGGCTCTGATAAGGACCTTATCAGGACCCGATGAGGCTATTCGGATGAGGACTCGATTACTGTGCTGCGTTACTGATTGATCAGATCTCGATGAACTTATCTTATCAGGACCTGATAAGATAAAGTCAACCTAAATAAGACCTGCTAAATTCCTTGAATAAATTTCTAGTCGGATACTTCAGATTGTAAAATGGAAAATTCCTAAAAAGAATCAACAATTCAAGTTATTATTAGATTGTCGAAAATGTTCTGAATTATTATTCAGTTTTTATATACAAATTTATTCAGAAACAACAATCATTTCTTAAAATTAATATCATCATGTTCAACAACCATTCGCCATCGATCTGTTAGTTTATTGTCTCGATATTAATTGTTTAGACAGCATCAATTCTACGTGTTCAGCTATCATATAGTCCCGATCTTATATCGTTTGACTGTGAGCTGTCTCGTTCAATAAAATATTTTTTGCATAAACGATGAAACTGATGAGCAAGTTGAAGCAATTTATCGTGAGTTCTTTGCATCTAAGAAACCCAAAATAATACCGAGACGAAATTTAGCGACTAATAAATTCATGACAAATGGTCGTTGAACATGATGATATTTGTATTTGATTATATTTATATTTTGAGTGAGAAATAATTCTTGTTGTTACGGAATAAATTTGTATATAAAAATCGAAGAATATAATTCAGAACCTTTTTGACGACCCAGTATTATATCATTACAATCATATTATTATGTCTTATAAAAATATTGAAGAAAGAAGGAATATATCTTCATACGTCTGATAGTTACATTCTTACAAGCTCTTAAAGAAGAAATCTCTGTGATGGAATCTCTGTAGCTTTTAAAACCTGAGTAATATCACTGTTGCTTTCAAGTTAAATAAAACCCACGTCGGTTCGTTAGGTATTATCGATTGTTGTCGAGGCGAAGTTTCTGTTTGAACAAGACAGGACAAGAAGGATTCACGCGGACGTGTTAGCAAACTGCGCTTCAGAAGAAAGCGATTTGGGTTATGGAGCTCTTCGTGTCAGGCTCTGGTTCTTGAGGGCTTGGATTGTCAGTAGAACGAGCATAGTCGCGAACGAGCGCGTGAGTGATGGGTGAGCGAAAAGCTGTTCCGAATGAGCCAGGGCGGCCAAGGGAAGGAGGTGGGTGAAAGGGAGTAAGGTTCGCCAGTTCGCAAGCAATTATCGCGCGAATCGCGCCACTTGGCAGCACGTAGATTGCTCGGCGTTAGCTATATCGATCTCATTTGGTTCATTTCGCGGTTCAACTTTGCGGCACGATCGATGATAAGAGCCGTTAACCAAGACCTCTATCTCGTTCTTTTATCTGCGTTGCTTGTAGCCTCCCATATTCATTCTTATGTTTCACCATACACTTTAATAAAGGATAGAGTTGAGATAATATCTATTTTTAAACGGTTAAGATTTTCTTGGAACATGGTTTCCTCATAGGTAACTTTTCCTTTGAAATTATTACAAGTAAGAAAATTATTAGCATATATATATATATATATATATGTATGTATGTATAATAAATGAAATGTTTACAGTAAATCAGCTTCTGCAAAAAGGTACGTGAAATTTTACAAGTCCAAGTTTTTCTCACGCTATCATTATACTTATTTAATTCGCCAATAACGCATACAAAGTAAGACGAATTAAGTCCGTTTCCGCCGAGGAACGTACACCACATGTCGGCGTTAATTTCCTTCAGTTTCGTAATTACGCGTGCCATAATCACTCCTCTCTCCTTACTCATCTCGGACATTCCGACAGTAACATCGCCGACCCTCACTCGCGCGATTATAATTAACCGATCGAATTGAAAGAGGGAAAGGCGTCTCACGCGACTCGTGTTTCAGCGTATTCGAGTCCCGCGTTCTAAAAACGCGGAACACGAGGCACGGTAGTTTACCCTCTCGGTCTCTCGGCATAACAACGTCCACTGAGGGCCCGGGGTATCATAATATCGTGTATACGTACATATATAATGCGATGGCAGACAGCAGTACAGGGACCTTCGCTTTGCGAACACGAGACTGCTCACGTGCGTACGCGCACATTGCGCGCCAGTTGTGAATCTCTACTAAAACTGACAAATTTCAGCTCTTTAATGCGCGTACGTATAGTCATTTTAAACTACCTTATATGAATCTGCACAGAACAATTATTGAAATATAGAAAAGGAAGAGAGAGAGAGAGAGAGAGAGGAGAGAATCAGTGAATGAGATGAACCTTAAATTATAATATCTTAATTAATTTTCAAAATAATACGTACTAATTTATTGCTAGAAGAAGAGAGAACTATTTAATAGAAAGTGTCAATTTTTCTATTTTTATATCCATATTACATTAATTTTATTTTTAGTTTCTTTGTTGCGTTTCTTTGCCACACAACTCAGACAAATGTCCAAGACGTCAGAGATCGTTGACGAGCAAAAATCACGGTGCCATGAATAATGCAAAGCTAATTCTGGGATGTTAAAGGGCTATCGTGCGACGACTCGTGCAATTTGGGAAAAGCCTGGCTTCGTAAGTCTCAAGGCAGCGGCTTGCTTCCTGCCAAGTCGCTAAAAGCCCTGTAAATTATTGCCGAAAGTTTACAGGGTCCGCTGCAGGACGCGCGCACGCATCCCACCCTGCACCCCTAATTGTGCTAATTATTATCCTGCCGCCGGATGACGAGGGGAGGCCAAGAAGTCAGCCGGGTTTCGTGATGTCGTGGCTATGTTTTATGGTCGCCAACACGAAAGGCATCACTGGCAAATCATCCAAGAACTTCCAGACAACGTGACAATCTCTCTCAATTGAAGTATCGCGAGGTGGCGAGCAGTAAATTCTTATCTGGACATTCTCGGGAATGATTTGACAAAATAAACTATTCCATTCACTGCGTAATAATTAATAATAAATAAGTTACGTAAATTTATACTAGACGTTTCATTATTAGCAGAAGTAGATGAGATACTTTTTCAGCATGAGACTTAATAGAATGGCTGCTTATTCTATTTCGTAACACAAGTTTCGTTCTATCTTTGCTACTCACTAAGGGGCCTATTCTGTAACTCTTAACGATTCTAACGACATCGTTGAATTATCATTGCGCAGCTTTTTTTACTGTATACAAAATCTGCGCAATGACAACGATATCGTTGTAGTTATTAAGAGTTACAAAATAGGTTATAAAAGTAATAAGGCTCAATAAATCAAAATAAGTAAAAAGGAAAAAGGGCTACGAGCCTAAAACATAAATTGACAAACTGTATGAGTAGTTAAAAAATAAAATAAAACTATGTCATAAAATTAAAAACGTAAATTATAATTTGACAATCAGAAGGTGAACAAAACGTTGATGATACAAAATAGGTCCCTAAATAAGAAAAATAGAATGACACTAAATGGAAAGTACCTAAAACAAGTACATCCAAACAAATATACGTATGATCTCGTTAAATTCTTAAATTGCGCGGAAGTTTCAGAAGAACGTGGAGTTTCATAAATGGGTGAACCGAAGGGTTTCCTTGTCAATCTCGCGAGTTCGCGCGTGGTTGTGGTCGTGTATACGGCATCCGTGTACAGGCGGATATATAGATATATCGAAATGCTGAGCAGGTGTGCACACAGAGACCATTCGATAATACAAGCCCGAGCGAGGGTGGCCGCACGCCGAAGGCCGAGCACGCCAGTCCGTGCTCAGACGTGACTCGCGAAGCAACCCTCATTTTTTGACCGACCCCGTGCATCGAGAAATCCTCCATTAGATTTCCGTCTCCGATATCGACCGGTTTATTGGTGTTGAGGTGCGTAAACCTATGTCGCGTGCGCCGATGTCGTTCTCGTTGGAGCCGCCCGATACGTCGATCAACTGTCGACATTGACCTGTCAACAACGAAAAACCAATAAAAGTTAATAAAAGCGCGTGCCCGACTGAATCGAAAAGTGTTTTCCATTGGTGAACGAAGAGACAAATGGATTTCGTCGGTATGTACTGTTCTCCGGTGACGCATTCTGAGTTATTGATTTTAAAGAGAGAGCACAAGTTAATGGTTACAGTAAAGATTAATCGTAGCGTATATTATATGTACTCTATAAACTTATAGAGTAAATCTCACTCTTGAATGATTGAAAATTGAGCACTCTTCCAAGACTAGTTCAATTTTTACTCTTTAGATTGAAGATTTCATTCCAAGAATGTAGAGAGATTTTTGATACATAAATTAATTTCTAACTAAAATAAATAAATTGCCTAATAAGGATCTCGGTGATTGTTAAAGCGGAAACTATTTCAATTGTTTGCGAATTATATTTTATCGCCTTATAAATATTATTTATGCAACGGAGATTCTTGTACTCAATTTATTTACATTTGATTTATTCTTCGAGCCACAAAACTACTTTTATTTTAATTATACTAATTTCATAAAAGCTAACGATTAAATTACTATACTTTATTACAATATTATGCAGCGATAAATGTTAGTTTAATTTATTTTTATAAATTGCTCATACATAGTTTTAACTAAATGCCCAGACCGATTTAAAATTCTACAGACATCATTTAGATTATCGAAAGCCAAACAATTAAGCCAACAATTAATATGTTAACATAGTTTTTTAATGTAAGATTTCCGCCGAGTCATCTGTTATTACAGCCGTTGGATGCAGCTATTTGGGAAACAAGAGCGAAATAGCCGAACGCTCTGTTGCATTATGACTTTATCTGCGTCATGCAAGTCATCGATCTGCGCAACATAGTCTGCATGATTGGCTCGGTTCCTCATGGTTCTTTTCGTTTTTTTTTTTTTTTTACATGTCGTTAGTGCGAAAAACGTCAAGTCTACCGTTCAACGTTATTGATGATTTCTACATTGTCAGCGATACTGTTGATCGTAATGAAAAAACGTGGTTCTCGAAAACGGACTTTAACGGCCGCCGCGAGTTCTATAATTATTAAGCGATAAAAACTGGCTAATGCACAAAAAAGGAAGGGGGATATGCTATTACTTTTTGTTGTGCTACCAATGTGTTTATTCAAAATCATTGTTACATCAAATAAAGAAATGTGACAATCGACCGACCGTATTCGCAAACACGACGTGGCATTGAGGAAGTTAATGCGATCGGCTGCGTTCACTAAAGCGAGAAATTTTAATCCTGTTATTTTCGATGCAACAGCATCATCGAATATGTAGTGGTAATTTTTTGTTCGTTCCACTCGAATATAGAAGTATACGGGCAGCAGCGATATGGCCTATAAGATTCTCTTCTTTCGAAAGAGACTTCGAGGTTTCTGAAGTTAATCATTCTCTCAATTTCTATCTTCGAATGTCGTAACGCGACTCCCAGACGCGTTTCTTTCTCAAAACTTCAACCTCGTTGAAGTGAAGGGCGATCGCATGGGTGTGAACGGAAATAAATCAAAAATTGATGAAATCGTGTTAAGCATGGCGAAATCGGCGAAACGGTTATTACTGAATTTTTAACAGACAAAAAAAACATTAATTTCTTTTAATTTATTTTCATTTCTATCGATTCTTACAGCTTTCCATTGATATTTCTATACTTTTAATAAAGAAACACGATATTATCTTTATAATCGTATTGAAGCAAAAGTTTATTAAGTCGGAATGATGAAGCATTTTTGCATCTTATTTCTCCAGAATAGTTTACAAGATCTATCGTTAATTTAATAAAGAAAAATTTGACAAATAAATCACAAATATAAAAAGTAGCGGAATAAATCATTTATTCAAATATCTTTGTTTTATTGTAGACTTTTTCGTAAGTCAATAACATTACAATAAAACTAATTTCATAGAAATAACTTTGTAGGAATTATTCTTATAAAATTAGTTTTACTACTTTATTGACTAAAAAAAAAAAAATCAACGATCAAAAAAGGATTTCTTCAATTTAAATACCACTATAATAATAATTATCCATCTCAGCTCAGTCTCTATCACTTCAAGTACATATTTCGGCTCACAAAATTACTTCTTCCTATTTTCATTCATCGCGTCCAGTTTTACGAAATAGACCACCGATTGGCGGTGGCGAATGGAACAAAAGCGGCCGATGAAGGCGAGTATCGAGACAAATCGCGTTGCGTAAGACATCGTCGCCACCACCTTTTTATTTCCCGGAAATCTCTCGATTGGATGTTATACGTCGAGGAGAGCCTGCTAGGCAAAAGGATGACAGGAGTGATCGAAGGCGCGCGCAAAACTCGCGCGCGAGTGTGTTGCCGAGTGTGAGCAAGCGAGCGGGTACACGCGAGAACGATCGCGCTATCCTTGATATTTAGCGATTGATTGGCAGGATTGCCAATTTGCTCAATTACCGGCGAGTTTCGCGGAACAGCGAATCGAAATTACATGGTCGGTGCGACGCCTAAGTTTGCGCGAGACGGGACCACAGCGTGTAAGATCGTCATCTCTCTCTCTCTCTCTCTGTTCCTTTCCTTTTCTCGGCCAACGATCGCTGCCTTTTAGATCCGATCGAGACCTAAGGGCCTCGATCGGATAAATAAGCCATGCCCAACAGATTCGGGAGCTGGGGATTTCGAAATTTCGGAATCCATCGTGCTGAGCACCGTCCAAATCGAGTGCTTAATGCCGGACGAGATCGATTAGGACGAAACGGTATATTATTATATCTATTTGGACACGAAAAAGAACAAAAGAATAAAATGGGCAAATTATAGGCGTAATAGCTATATAGATATAGATTGCGCATTCCCTGATCTTAGCATCTGTGATCCGTTAGAAAGAATTGAATCATATCTCTCTTCGACTCAATACTTTAGGGAGAAAGAGAAAGCGATATGATTCGAAACTATTTTACTCTTTCTAAACCGATAGTGACAATTTCACAGGAATGCGTAGTCTATTCTTATTAATAGGGTAATAAAACTTAGTTCATATATTGGTGCACATAAATTGTTTTGAAGTCACGATAAATTTCTAGATTTCTTCTAAATTTCTTCCTCTCTGCAAAGAGAGAGAAAAAAAAAATTTGCCGCAATAACGTAATTTTACGGTACACCGTCTTTTTATTTATTTATACAACGTTGTCTGCTTTTCTCCGCTTAATTACGCATTTTCCACTTTCGTCGCGCGTTCCAACGAACGAGTTAATTTTACATGTCTAAAACGAAAGTATTACAACGCGTGCGAGGCAAGTTGCATACAAATGAAACGTGGAATATCTGGGCACGATATTTCAAGCAAGTGCATGAATTGCGTGCGTTGCCGGATTTAGCATGTTTGGCACTTTGGTTAATGCTGTACTGCAGAATTTCCACGTTCCATGGAACTAGGAATGCCCGCATTAACGCACGGCGATTTGACGTGTGCACGTCAAATTTGCCGCATTGTGCCGTATTTACCCCGGGAAACGGCCGCTTCAATGGGGCGCACGAAGTTCAAACGAAGGACAAACGGTTATCGTAACACACATTTTGCGCGTGGAAGTTTGAACGCGAGCCACTTAGATTTTCCAATCTCACCCACACGTCCACTCGCATACATACATCTCTTTACACATCCGCCTTCCTCCTTCCTTTCTCTTTCTTCCGGCCGTATTTTCCTCGGTCGTTTCTCGCGGAGGGTGTTTCGCGCAGTCGTGGCGGCTTTTCCACGCAGCAGAAAGTCGTAAAATTCCCGAGGGCATAGGCGAAGTCGGTTGACTATCGATTTCACGTGTTTCCTTTCGGAAATTGCCTTGTTTTTCCCTCCCTCATTCTTTTCCTTCCTTTTTTCCTCTCTCTTTTTCTTCTCCCTTTCCTCGTCCTCGTCCTCGCCCTCGCGCTTCGGGTCATAGCGAAGATCGATACGATATCGCGGACCTCACGATCGCCTGGGTGGTCCTCCGCGCGCAGCACCGGTTAACGGCTTCTGGGACTGATTTAATTCGGCTACGTGGACCGCCTAATGCCACTCCGCGCTGATTCATTGTCCAGCTCACACTCGTTCATTTCTTCTCTTCATTCTTTCCCGTGGCACTTTCGCGCGGCGCGCAAAATCAATCTTCCATTACGTTTATTATTTCGAGTCAAATTGCTTAGAGCGGCAAGATATTTATCTTCTAAGCACGATGATTAATACAAAGTACGTCAAACTGACAATGGCGCGCTAAATCTCGGTATATCAATATTGCGAAAGTAAAGGAAAATATACACCTGAGAAGTGTGAGATCGTTTGAACCTTCAAAGCATAAAATCCCCGTTGAACTATCCATCAATCGATTAAATCCTCCCCTCCTTCTTCATTCCAACTGCTGCCGTTCTATGTTCTTCCTAACGAATATCAATTTGATTGCCGTCTAGCCCGTTTCTTTGCACAAGCGGAAGTTATCGGCAAGCAAGCGGAGGGTGGACCGGCAGGAAGAGAAGAAAGAAAGGGGGTGGCGTTTTAAATCGCGAGGCTCGCCCGAGCCGTCCGGGTAATCCAGACAGATGGGACTCGTTAATGGGACGCGCGAGTAATTTGCAAGAAATCTAATAACACCGTGGCCTCCCACCCCTCTCCATAACTCGTGGCTTGACTTTCCGCCTTGCAGTCGCCCCTTTCCTTCTCCCCCTGCAACCCTGGCCGATCCTTCGTCCGAGGACCGTCTAATGACAATACACGGGCGCCATGCTCGTGAAAATTAAAATTCGCCCGGGGGTCGTACACGACGTTCTCGTAACAGCGCCTCGTTCGTGGTCGTCTCGTTCCAAGCACGTGTGAGTGCGTATACTGCGTGTGTCCAGGTGGTCGTGAGAGATTGCGATGTAGCGATGGCGCCGATACACTCGCGAGTTATCTCTCAACACAGCATCGCACGAAAGTTCAGAGGATGGTCGAGGATTTTTCGACGATTTTTTTCTTTTTTTACGTACTCTAAAATCCTTGGGGTGAGATCTAACTCTAAAGAGTGAAATCGCACTCTTGAAAATTGAGCCACTCGTTTCGACAGCTCAATTCGTCACTCTTTAGAATTAGATACCACTCCAAAGATTTTTAGAGAGCATACTCGTTATTTCTCTACTGTAATCAATCATGATTTATTGTTAAATAATGTAATTATAGTTATATTCAATCGCGCTTCTTAATCCTAGAATACCATGATTACGTAAATTTTATCTACAAATGTGCGAGATTACTGAGAGTTAAGCTGTGACATCAGGAGCTGTCCCCTCTAGGATGAGATAAATGAAGATTAAATAATCGTTTTAAAAAAATAGTTCATTTCACTTCCCCTTATTTTGCAATACTTTTATAACTTCTTATTATTTTTAATATTGATAATAAAAAAATATTGTTTTCGTTCATTTAAGATCTATGCAGCTTTTTGGTCTTGTTATTGCTGTAGATTCTTCTTAACTAGAAGTCTGGCTTTTATTTCAAGTTTGCTTGAAAGACAAGGTAAATACTAGTAAGACAAACCTCTCCATCGCTACCGCGTGTCGGTATACGGACAGTGTGCGTGCGTGCGTGCGTGCGTGCGTGCGTGCGTACACTGTAGAGTGTAGCTCGTGTAGAAGAGTGAAAAGACGACGCGGGGGAGCGCGGAACTCGTTAAGCAGTTTGCGGTTCGTCTTGTCTTTTTTTTTTCCACCCGGGCTCGCCTTTAACGTAAACATATTCCGCGAAGAGATCAGCATCTTTCTCCCTGCGCGCACCGCTTTTTCTTCTTCTTTATTTCACCTACCGGTGTGTCTTTCGCCTCCCCCGCGTATCTTTGTTTCTTATTACGCATCGGTTTCCGATGTCTCGGTCCATTCACGATGCGCGCCGATTAAACGCGAATCTCGCTAGCGTCAATTTGGAGGACAATTATTCTCTCAGCTCGTTCATTGACTCTCTACAGGCGAGTGCTGCAAATTTGCAACGTTCATTTTAAAATTAAATTCGAGATAAATTCGGGTAAATTCAGAAACTGTATAAATTAGTTATACTTGAGAACAAGACGGAAATCTATGTAGCATTGAACACTGAAAAGGAATTAAGTATAGCACCTTCTATCTGCTTGCAGAAAGTTGATGTATAAACATCGATAGATACTTTATTTACGATATGTCTTTTTTTTTTTAAAGCAATAAAAAAATTGTTTTTTTTTTAATGACAAGACGATCTCTAGAGGATTAAGCCTAAAATGATGTCGATCATATCTTGAAGTCGCAAAGGAAACATCTGCTTCGTCCTCTTTCTCTTCGAGGAAGATTATTATAACAAATATCCTGCTCGGAGGTTTATTTTAATAAGTACAAAAAGCAAAACGATCGTTTTCAAACGTGACTCAAGAGACTCGTTTTATTTAGCGCTAAATGTAGCCGTCTGTTTCGGAATTTTATTTTACCGATACGAAAATCACACGGTTGCAGAGCCACAGGACGAGACGAGAGTCAGATGGTTGCATTTAGTGTTAACTGCGCGGTGAGAATGCGGGCCTATGATCGCGAAAATATACGATCGATATACGATCGTACTATCGTGGTATGCAACATGGCGATCCGGCGAGATTAGACCGCCGATTAAAATTCACGGCGTGTCCAGGCAGTATAATTTGATTTCGTAGGTGTTCGTGCAGATCGAGTTACGCGAGCTGGGCGGAATCGCGAGAGGAGGACTCTCCCTCGCGCGCACATTTCTCTCCTTTTTTTTCCTCTCCCCCAACCCCTTTCGGTCGAAACGCAAAACGCGGCCCCGCGGGCCTCACCTTCAACGACCGGACAACAAACTTTGACGACTATTAAAATTGAAACGCGCTCATTATCGATTCGCCACGCTAATCGAGCATGGTGAAGCGCGGACTGACGGATTCCATGAGGTTCGGGTTACATGGACTCGATTATTTCGTTCGATTAGGCACGAGATCGCTGTGCCACGGCACTTTCTCGCGACAGTCTCGTCCGCTCTGCCTTTGAAACTCACCCATAAATTGCGCACCTCGTAAATACTTCTGCGACATCCTCTTACTTAGAGTGTCATATTATTTCTACATGAAATATAATAGAAAGTCTAATAAGGAAGTAAAATATGAATATATTGACGCCGGTTATTTCCAGAATCAAGAATATTGAGTCCTCGTTTACAAAGGACTCGCTTAATATAAAGTACTTTAGCATCCAGCTTTGATTATATGAATGAAGTTTGAATTGAGAACTGGAGTGAATAATTATTCCCGACATTACAGACTTACGGGTAATATATAATATTTGTACAATATAATATAACAAAAATATAATTACATAATTTATAAAACAAGACAACATAATTTTACGTGATACAAAATTATGTCTCGGATCTCGGACGAGAATATTCAATCTGCTTCGGTCCTCCGCAGTCATAACTTTTCTTCTAATTCTGGAAATAGATTGGAGGCGCTAATTAATTATGCGCATTCGTCAATCGTATCTCATAAGATCTGTGCCGTGGCCGACGATTTCGGATCGTTTTGGATTAGCGGGTGGTCCGATGTGTCGGCTGGGAGGTGGTGATGGTGGCCGGGCCTCTTCGTCAGTCTAGATCGGTCGCATTAAAAATCAGACGGCATTAAAGCGTTGTTTAGTAGGCCATTCTGAATTTTAATTCCCGCGCTCGGCAACGTAATCGAGGTGTGGAATAGATTAGTTTTCGCTCACACGACTATCAGCTACTTGCCGCAGGGCTCTGACTGACTGACTGACTGACTGACTGACTGGATCGCAGAATGACAGTTAACTCCCTCTTTCTTCATCTTGTGCATTCTTCCTTCGTTTCTCTCGTTCGATCCTTTTTCACACACATATCTTCTTTTTTAATATTCGCATTTACTTTATTCTTTTAACGATTCTAGAAATTATGCTAATTATTGCAATCTGTTATCTATGCATTTTTATTGTCTATATAAAAAACGATAGCGCTCTAAATCATACAAATTCAAACAATAATAATTTAAAGTTACACACACAACTTTAATTTTATAATTGAAGCAAAATATATACAGTAGGATGAATATGGATATAATTAAAATATAAAAATTTTCAGGATGTAATTCAGGATGTAATAAACTGCATCTCTACAAACACAAAATCAATAAATAATTTTTATATTAAATCATCAAGTTTGATTTTTAATTGATTCTTGACTATTATTTTCTAACAACCAAAAGTGAATGTAAAAAAAATCCTATTATTGAATTAACTTCTTTGTATTATATGCTACGATTTCTTAATAAGCAAAAATCATAATACGATTTGATATACTTACTCTAATTCAGCCTGTCCGAAATTTTCCTAATTACTTTCAGGAGGAAACGGCAGTGACAAACGACGAGGCCGACGGAGGGTCAAGCTCGCCCGATGAAGATGCCGCACGAGATCGCGTCCGAGCACTCGTTTGAAACAAAACAAAAAAAAAAAAAAGAAGAAAACGTGGCCGCGGTTCAAGGTCGCTCGTCTGGACCAAGTTCGGAGCTCGTTGTTGCCGTGGTAAAAAGAAGAGGGATGATCGATGGTGAGAATCGACTGGGCTAGTCACTGTGGCTTCGTACAGGAGAAGACATCACCTTGTGGAGGAGGTGCCAGGACTCTACATTCGGCGCCTAACGCTCGAAGATCCCAGGAGGAGGGAACCGTCCAGTTCAAGGTCGCCATCTCCGGCGCGCCATATCTGTCATCCTCGTAGCGGCTGTGCGCGCTTAGCGCGAGGATCATCGAGGTATCGAAGCGGATCAGAGATCTAACACGAGCTCAAGATATTTCGTCGACAAATTTTACAGTTGCGGCTTGCTAGGAAGTCGCAATCAGTTCGCGTGCGATGATTGACAAGTTAGATTTCTGCTCCCTCCAGCTCTCATCATGACTACTCACTGTAATACAAACCGGCAATTAAGCCATCGAGAACTGGTTTCGAAGAAATTTCACGGGATTCATCTATATTTAGAGAAGAATGTGTTTTGACACATCGTTCGCTTAACATCGTCCTCATCGTGTTTGAAGTTCCATTTACGGTCATTTAAAGTCGTTAAAATCATTAAAAATTGTTTGAGAGGTAACATAAGTTTTTTTTTAATAAATTGTAGATTGTGCTATCTTACGCGCATTCTTCTCCCTTTATATCTTGGGAAATCAAGTCTATTAGGACGTAAAGCAGAAGGGTTAACCAATCAATCCTATCTGATTATTGAATGATTAACATCGACTGTGTACGAATTAACATGGTTACGCTAAAGAGTCAAACTTCTCGAAACTACGAGGCTGGTACGCGCAAGTCGAGACCTAGCGAAGTCACGTAGTTCACGATGAACACTCGCTAGGACCCCGTAATTAAACGTACTAAAATTTAACGGTCGATTCGTCGGATGGACGATCCGCTGCTGCGACTTAATAAAGCCTCACGGGCGATCGCCGGCACCATAACGTTATTAAAGCGGTTCTCGCATTAAAATACGAGCAGTATCGGTACGTCATTATCATCGACGTTTGATCTTCTTCTTCCTCACCGTCTCAGTCTCTCACGTCTACCTTTCAGTCTACCGCGCCGCCTTCCATCGTTCTTCGATCTTCCCTATAACGTGGTGAACCTGACCTCTGCGCGAGATCCGGACAATGTTACCGGGTTTATTGTGACTCTGGAACGTGCTCTTGTTTCAGATCTCACGAAACGACCGAATCCTCCCACGTTCCGCCAGTATTCCCTTTGATCTGCGTGCCTCCTCTTTCTTTTCCCCAGAAGTCTTTTCAAGCGACCGGCTACGCCTCATGGAACACGCTCTTTGCCCTCTTTAACAATTAAAACTATTGCTCAATTTAGTAATCTGGAGCAGTTTGCGTAGATCATGTCAAATCTTCTTTTGAATTCTTGTTCATAGTATTACAGAAAGTATTCTTATGAACGTGATAAATTATAGTAAGGTAAAATTAAAAATGAATATTGGGTTATATAAAAACTCCTGATTAAAAAGAATCTTAAAATAAATGTAAAATTAAACGTGTATTAATGAAGACTTGTATATGCATTCCATAATGTCAACATAAATTATTTATCTCAAACCGCTACGCCCAACATTATTTATGTTTTCCTGACGACGTGAGTATCGTAGGTTCTTTTAATTAACTTTCTGCTTTTTATCACTGTTATTTTCAATATTACTCTCGTTCGTTGTTTTTATTCGCATTCCTATCTTTTTCGTAGAAATCTATTTCGATTTCATTTTAATGTATCCTTAATAAAATTTGATCAACAAGACTAAATTATATTTTCATTACAGTTTATTTGTAGTCGCGATATTTATTTATTTATTTATTTATTTTTTTTGAACGGATGAACATAAGAAAAAGGACGACAACGTGCAGCACTGATAAATTTACCGAATCATCTCTCGCCATGATTATTTTCGGTGTCCAGGGTATTATTTTTCCCCTCGAGCTCTTCCCGCGCTTCATTCTCCATCGCGCGAGATCGCCTTTTTTTGCTCTCGCTATATTTTTTCATCCCCTCTTCTTGTTCAACTTGCGGTTCAAGGTCATAATCTTCTCGAGACCTCCTTTCTTTCAACCAGTTCTCCGCTTCGTCTCCCTTTTAATCTTTTTCTTCAGCCATTCTTGCGCCTTCGTTTTCGAAGTTCAAGGCCTTCCTCCTCTTCTTGAATATTTTCTCCCGACCTCTTCCTTATGCACTCGAACTTCTTCGACCTTATTCTTTCTCCTCATTTCCAATTTACTTGCTCTATTCTCTCCAAACTTTCCATCCAGATCCTATCGTTGTCCTTCTTTTCCTTTTCACCTCTGTTCATTCTCCTCATTTTTCACTTTCAACTGCTTGCCACTCCGAGAACTTGACATCTTTCTTTCTTCGTATTTCTTTTTATTTCCTCATTTCTCTTTTCTGCCTTCGTACAACTTATGCATTATATATTCAACTATTTTTTTCGTATTACTTCTTTTTCTCTTGGTATAAATTTTATTTCCTTTCGTCTTACCTTTGAATAATTCTTATTTCCTTTTCGTATTTCACTTTCGGCCGCCTTTCTTTCTATCAACTTCGTCTTCCTTATTCCTTCTTGTTACCTCACGTTTATATCCTTTTTCTTAGCGTTTCCTTTTTGAAGTATCGTGCCCTCCAGGCTTCGCAATCGCATCTAGTTATCCAGTTGTCTGAAGTCGAAGAGGACGAGTACCCTTTCTCGTTGTCGTTACAAATCCTTTCTGCACCGTCCACGTGCAATCATCGTGGCGGGCGATCATTACAAAGTGAACGAAGCGAGAAGTGTTGCTAACTTCGTCGTGACATGAGCCCTGCGGCCCTATGCTTGCCGTCTCACGAAAGACATGTCTTTACTTTTATTTCTTCGCGAATGTTACGTGGAACTTTCCAATCTCGGAAGTTACAATATTTTTGACCATTTATTCAATATTTCATAGAAAGCACCAGTTTCTCAAATATAATAGAAAATGTAATTAAACTATATTTTTAGGCACATAACATGTTTAGATTTAAAAAAAGTGCAGCATTAGATTATTATATACTGAAAGAAAAAATTGATTGCTGCAGCAAATGTTTCATTGGCTGTAGCGATCAATTAAATTTGTTATGCCATATTTAACCATCTAATTTGCTCCAGCAGCCAATCTTTTCTTTCAGTGTATTCGTATAAAATTATGTATTATTATAAAAAGATATTATTTTTATTTAAATCCTGTATTTATATTTAACACTTCATCTATTCATGTGTATTCTATGTGCATCCAGCTACAAATCTTGGTTGGAAAGGATCCGAAAAGAAAGTCCGGCTTTCTTAACAATAGTATCTTTAGAGCTTCCGGAATCGCCGATTCCCTTAATAGAGTCCCAAGCAAATGCTCGTTGGAGACGTGATGAGTCCAATGAAGTCGTGAAAAACAAGGATGATATCTTAGATGAATTTTTGAAGAGGGTCACGGAGATTGGAAAAGATAGGGAAAAGGAAGACCGCGCAGGAAGAAGTAGCGTGTTCCGGAAAAGTCGTCGCAGTAGCAAAAAGGATAGCGAATCTTTGGAATGCACAAAAGCGCCAGCTACTCTCGAGGAATGTACGAGAAACATTATCGAAGGTCAGATTACATATTTCTTCTCTAGGATAAAATAACAGATTTATGTGCCACTTTGGAAATATAGTTACTTTTTTTAAAATATATAATTGTTCGAAATTTTTTAATGACTTTATCAAATTTTTTCATTAAAAAAAGATTAAATTTTAATAAATATTTATTTGAATAGTATAATTAAATATTTACTAAATATAAAGATATTTATTTATTTTAATTATATATTTTTATTTTGCAAGAATTAACCATTGATTAACGTTTCTTTTCAAAATCATTATTTTGTCAACATCATTAGAGAATTAACATTTCGAAAATATATATCGTTACGATTGGCATTTTTATAAACATTTATTGAATGGTACAAATATTTCCGATCATCTTCACTTTATATGTAAATAAAACTGCCAAATCTCTATTAAAAAAATTAATTTTTTTCATTTCCTGTATACTACCTTTGAAAATGACGATTAGTTTTAACAGTCTCTTAAACTCTGCAGTATTATAAAAAAATATATATTTCTCGATTTAATAAATTTTTTTCTCAGTGTGTTGAAACAAATTCACACATTCGTCAAAGTGTATATAGCTGAGAAAGAAATATATATACTTAGTGTGTAACACCCTATGTAATATCTCGTGCATTACATTGAAGAAAATAAAATTGCAGTCTTCTAAATGCAGATATATCCACTTTCCAAAGAAACCAAAGAAGCTATTATTTTTTTAGAATTAGAAAAAAATCTTTAAAACAAAATAAAAGATATATTATCAGATTAAATCAGATATAACCTGGATGATGAAGCAAAATTAGTTGATTTATTATGACTTAATTGTCCTTGAACCGCGTTCGCAGATTATACGAATGTCATAAAATACCACAGGTTTACATTTATCAACTTTACATTTAATTACCATTTTTAATTCACATCGTTTTATCTATGACGAGACGTCGTTTTTTTATTCTCGACTTACTGCGAGAGGTCTTTCGGAGCGTTTACAGCTTGCTTACTTTTAAAGTTCGATTCTAGTTGGCGTGAGTTTAAGATCGGATTTCAGAGACGTGGGATCGCTGCAAACGGACCTTGAAATCGCGTCGACGTCTTTCGCGATTCCGTGGCAATTTATCGAGATTTTTCCGGTTGGAGTACGAAGAGGCTAGCTTAGGAGAAACGACTAGGCAAACCTCGAAATTTTCGGACGGTTATATCGAATTTCAGGACCAAGCCGAGGAGAAGAATCGACTCGACCACAGGATACTGTCGACGACTGCATATGCTCCGAAATACCGAAGGATCTACGAATTAACATTCGCAAGAAGACGGAGGTCACATATACT